TGTAATGCAAAAGTAATGATTTTTCAGCCCCAGTGGTCTGCCTCTCATGTTTACAGACAAGCTTAATTTGAGGCTGGATTCCTATCATTCCTTTGATAAATTCTCATGCTTGATCCACTACACAAATAAATGATCATATCAAATTTTAAGAGAGGGGAGTTGGCTATGAATTAATTACTAACTACCAACCTACAGTCAAAAACTGCTAATGGACTCCTGGATTCGTGTTTATCTAGAATATGGTTTAGCTTACTGAGCACATATATGACTGAGTATTATTAAACCTGAGTCCTGTATCTTGATCAAAATGGTCAACCAATTTCCTTACTTCTGCATCCCACCTGGAAACACAGGAAGATTTGTTGGGCAAATTTGCGCAAAATTATTAGAATAATCTTATCAATGATAAAAGAAGATGGGTTAGATGAAGTTCAGTAGTCAAGTAGACACAATTACTTCTTAGGACCTTTTTTCACAGTTATATTCTTTATAATGAAATGCAAAAACTATAGGCAGCAAAGATAATACTTTATTTAGATAGAAGTTCTTGCACTTTTTGTTAAGAAATTGTGAACAGCTACAAGAAAAGGCAGCAAGAAATGCTCCCTGACTGTTAATCTTTCCACAATTACATACAAACTCACAGTGTAAAAACATGCATGTCATGGTTGGATTCCTTTGCCTCAGATCATCAGGACTCCTGCTACTCAGTAACAGTCTTGAAATTTTGTCATTTATGCATCCTATGCTGATACATGATAACAGCTTTCAAGGGTTATCAGCAGCTGATATATTATGTTGAAATTAGTCTTGAAAAAAAGCCCTGTAAACTATCTTGGAAAATAAAGTTTACTAAAAACAGTGTTCTTTGACCTGGGGGGAAAAAAAAAGATAACACCAAAAAAGAACATCTACCAAGTTCATTGTACGTGATGATGCCTCCTGTCTTAAAGCGATGCTTAGAAAGCAATAACAAACAGTCCATATAACACAATTAACTCTTTCATCACGAATGAGTACATATGTGACCCCTCAAAGACATGAAAGGCACGGAAACATATACAAATCCTAATTGAAGTTTGACTGCAAGTATAATTTCTCAGCTGTCATTATGTTCATACTATAGGCAGAGTTGATAATAGAAATCTATTACAGTGGTGTTTTCTTGCCTCTTTGAAAAAATTATCTGTAGAATATTTTAAACAGTGCTGCCACAATGGTTTTCTTTTACAACCAAATAAAAAGCAGTTGCGTTCTAAACACTCATTATTATTTCCTCCCATTCTTTTTTTTGGGGGGAGCACTTTCCTTTGTTCTCTAATTACTAAAAAGTCTTACAGAATCTGCAAGAGTCAAGGCAAGACAAGGACAAAACCCATAAATTCCCTATAGGTTTAGAAGTACAGTGCAGTTAGGTAGTCAGGCTTGATCAGCACAGAGCAAAATATATCAAGGTAGGTAATTCAAAGGTCTTCTGGATTTAACTGTTGTGGAAAAAAAAAAGGAAAAAGAAAAATGAATTCACTCGCCAACCTTAAAAATGCAATAAATTACTCTCATACAACTACAAGAAATTGGAAAAAACTAGAAAATAGGAAAAAAAATTAGGGGCTGAATTCTATGCATTAATAAACTTAAATGTTCATCTATGAATACTTTTGGGCAGCAATTAATAAGATTTCTTTGTGAGATACATTTTGACACTGTAATGTAGACTTTTCTCTGATAAAGCTTAGGAGCTGTCTTTCACTCTTGATTACTACAAACCATAATTATAAGGCTGATTTGTCTAAGAAAGGAGATTTTAAAACCCAAGTTGCCAGAAATCCAATCAGCAAGCAGGGAAACTTTGTATATCTTAGTATAGCCATCTGAGGGCAGAAAAACTTCTCTGTTTTGAAATATATAACTGTCACATCATTTTAAAAACAGGCAAGAGAGGCAGGAGATAACTGTGTGATCCAGGGAACACACAACATCCTTAATTCAATCTAAAAAAAATTATATATATATATATATAAAAGGCACAATCTTGGTTATGAACTATTGTCTGATACAGCTCTGGAAAGAGATTCACAGGTTGGAAATTAAATTAAGCACAAGGGTTATGAAGATTTCAGTACAGACACTGATGGAGACATGGGGGTAGAAACGACAGAGTTAATTGTCATCAATTCAAGAATATATATGGAAGAAAGATAAACAGAGGAAATGTTAACAACAGAATACTCCTATGACAAAATGATCATGAAACTATAAAAGATAAATTGGAAAATAAGCAGAGCTATGAAACAGATTTGCTATGGTGAGAAGCCAAAATGAAATGCCAAGGAGCATGAGATGGTGAGGAAGTAGCACAGTTCATCTAAAAATCAAAAAGATAGGGAGTTCACCAAGGACACAAAGTAACCAAAGAAAATCTGAATGCCTGAGATGACCAGTCAAAAACATGTGCAGTTACTAGAAGACAGAACATGCTAAACACACCTCCCCAAAGTAAATAAATAGTCCATCCCACCTCCTCCAAAAAAACCCCAAATCAACACATGCCCAATTTTATTTTCCACGAGACTGACTACTGACAAAATAAAGACAGGTGTGACTGATCAGTGAAGTCCTACCACGGAAGAAGGGTCAGAGGAGAAGGGCCAGGGTGCTGGGCCCAGGGACCTCAGAGAAGAATGCAGGCTGGGACTGATCACAGCTGTTGCAAAGATGACGATCTCAACACCAAGAGGACCTGAGAGTGGGTTTTGCTTTAGATAAACAGCTCTCAACAGCTCAGAGAATCAACTGCTGGTGTGTTTCTCCCCAAACTGATTAAGAGTGTGGATGTCTCCCTGGGCTAGCCAGGCTAATGTGGGCTGTATGTATACATGGCTCAGCCCAAAGTAAAGACTACGAAAACATAGTCAACTAACAAAAGATTTTCAAAGAGAGCAATGGGATTGAGTCAGCTTCAATTCACATACATCTTCCTGGCAAGGCCAGGGATGTTGTGTCGTGATGGTGATCATATCAGAGAGACACTGGGAACCACACTGATATTGTGATTGAACTGTGCATTGCAATTGCTGTCTTCTGCTATGTGTAACCTGTATTTTTATTGTGTTTTCAGTGTGTTTTGTATCATGTTGCTAAATCAGAAATCCCATGTAACATCAACTATCTTCAAATAAATAAATAAATCTGCTTTTAAACATTGTACCTTCCACATCTGGACCATCTAAAAGAACCCGGTCAGAGAGAACCCATCAGGTCAGTTACATGAGGAGCTACAATAAATATAAGCAAACTCTCCAGAAGATGTATGAAGTATATCTGACAGTAAAAAATATTCCAAACTTAATTTAGGACACACGCAAAGAAAAACTATTGGGACGACTGATGCCTTAAGCCCATAATGATTTTTTTATTTTTCTATCTTATAAGTTTTATAGGTAATAGAAGTAGATTTTAGAAACAAACCCCTTTCTCCCTCCTCCCTGTAACACCCCTTAGTTTATACATTCCTTAATCCTCTCACCCCATTCCATACCCCCATATCAACCCTATTCCCATATCCAGTAGAAGATGTTTAGTCTCTTAGTCAAGGCAAGCCTGTCTTGTTTGGAGAACGCTTGTATCTTGGCCTAAACCGCAGGACAGAGTCAAAGAACTAGGTGACACTGCTCTCTGTACCCCGAAGATGATGAAGAATGATGAAGAGGGGGTCCCAAAAAGCCCCCCGACCCAATTCCAGGAGGCGGGCCAGGGGGTGGACCAGGCCAAAAGTTATAGGGTGGACACACTTGGGATTGGCCAGATATTGTTATAAATGTAACATCTCGGGCACAGCCCGGCGCGCGCGTCGTGTAACATCTCTATTGCCTTGGCATAATTAAACCCTTTCTTATCTCACCCCAGCTTACGGCTCCTAGATTCATTTCGTAGCACCAGCTGAGCAGGCATCACGACTAATGAACGTTTTCTCACTAAAAAAGTATTTTAAAACATCTAGGCTCATATGGTCTAAACAAAAGGTTGAGGAGATGCAGCTCTAACTAAACACAATCAGAGGTTGATGGCCTTCTTCTGAAGCATGGATGTAGGTCAGTTCCACATTTAGATCATTAGCCAGTAGTCACATTTAGCTAGCATGCAGCTGCTGCAGGGAGCTAGAGAACTGACAGCATCCCCAGCTTCTTCCACAGTACTTCACATTTTGGGATTATTGACCACAGAAGCTGTGTCCTCCAGTCTCTTGCATTTGTTACAGTGTGAAAGGAACCATTCTGTAGGTGTTAACATTTCTGATCTAATGTGGACTGATCACAGTGCTATCAAGGACTGGACTCAACGACACAGACAGTCCCTTCCTACATCCCATGTTCCTGTAGATGGAATAGCATTTGGGGGGGTTTTGTTTGTTTGTTTGTTTGTGGGGTTTGTTTGTTTTGGTTGGGGGTTGTTTATTTGGTTTTTCGTTTTCTTTTTAACTGGATGAAGGTAGGACAAAAGGAAAGGAGAATTTTTTATCTTCTAAATCATAAGGCTCTTCCAGCATTTAGATCTCCAACTAAGTGGAATGATTTTTAAAGCATCCAAGACACATCCATTCCTACAGTCTATTACATCTGGAAGACAAGAGACTAAGATTATTTCTGTCCTCATTTTTCATAGTTTTACCCTATGTACCTGTCTGGGCTTTACTGACAACAGAGAGCTCACTGGATATTCAGTTACCAGCTGTGCTCTGCAGCTCTTGTCTTTTCAAGGATGTCTCTTCTCTTGTGCAATTAGCATTTTTAGAAGAGGATGCTCTGCAAACATTCTAGTCTACATACTGGTGACAAGACTGCACCAGTTATAACACCACTCTAGCATATGATGAAATTATGTCAAGGCATATTCACAAAGCCCTTTAGGGGCAACCCTGATGCAGTAAAATTGATAACAACCCCTCTGTAGTTTATGTTTTGTTAAATTTCACAAACAGAACATTTAAAAGTCATACCTACCTAAACTGTTATTGCTGCTAGTTGGCCAGGAAGCTATTCTACCCCTTAACTTCTTCATTTTACAAGAGTCATCTGATTTCACAGAAAGCTTCACTTCCTCCTTCTTGATTTCCCGTACCAGTTCCATGCGGCATTGACTAAAATCCTGGAAAGAAACTCTTCCATTTTCGTCTGCTCCCAGCTGGTGCATGATCTCCGCAACAGACGCCTCCATATTAAGCTGGCGGCACACCATCAGCAAGTCATTCCTAAAGATATTTTAGCGGGAAAATAGAGGTGGGGAAATTGGAAAAGTGGGAACAGAGAAGACAAAAAAACAATTAGTTTAGAAGAAAAGGAATACTAACTCTCTCTTATCAGGATATGCATTAATGCACAGACATTTAAAACCAATAAGCCAATTTTTTTTTTAATGCTAATCCAACAACAAAACTGTGAGGTTGGCGATAAATTACAAAACAGAAGGGCTATGGAAAAGAAGGGAACATTTTTCTTTAAATGTTTAACCTCTATTTTCATGACATTATTAACATTTTTACTATCAGAGACGGACACATTGGAGAGCTGAATCCTGCTGTTGATCTTCACAGTATCTTCTGAAAAGGTGACATAATAAGAATTTGAGTCATTATCACCTGACTAGATCAATGGTTACTTAAATTTCCATTTTACTCAGGACAGGACAAGAAAATTTCTTTTGCCACTGAACAGCAGTAAGCTAAAGATGCAAAACATATAAAAACCCCCAGAGAATGTAGCAGAAAAAAGAAATACTGTGTCAATTAACTATTGCCAAGCCTTTTTTCCAAACATTCTTATTTGGTCCAATCGTTTAATGAAACTCACAAAAGGGGGATAAAAACAGTATTATGAAAAATATTCTTGCACTGAATGCAGGTGGCCAAAATACAGCTGAAACCAAATCAACATGGAAAATTCTTTCAGCATATGACACACCAACAAATTTAAAACATATTTCTTATTTTTATGCTGTACAAAATCTTTCTGTAGGAGGACGGTGAAGGAAATGTCAATATTACATGAATTATTAGCATATTTAGTAGTATCATTATTTCATTACTAATATCAGAGCATCATTCAGAACGTTTCTATGAAAACATGATATAGTGAAATATTTGGAGTTCTTGCATGAACAGTTTCACTGAAGTCATATATTATCATAAATCAAAGTCCATCTATTCTACAGAAAGACGTCTCTTCCATGCAAAAATTCCAGAGCTGCTGAAACAAAATCCTTGTTAGAGTTGCTTACAGTAAAACTGGATCATAACAATAAAATTTACATTATGACCATGTATTTTAGAAAAAAACAAAAAATAAGCCCCACAAAAACAAAACTAAAGCAACCGAATCTCTACTTATCACAAGAAATAACTTTATTATAGGAGAACTAGTTTACATTACATAAGTCAAATATAAGCTATTATTACATGCAGTTAATTTTTTGGTCAGAGTTTAGCTCTTAGCTTTGAATCTGATCAATGAATAAATAATCTTCACGGCTCAGTTCCCTGTTTTTAAAAATTAAAGCAACAATACAAATACAATCTCACAAGGGTATTGCAAAGGAAAATAAGACAGTGCATTCAAGTTTTTACACAGGTAATGACAAATAAAACTAAGCAATGTCTTCATGAGTTCTCTTGTCACGGATCAGACAGAGCAGCACAGATTGAGGGACCCTGTGTGCTAATCTTAAAATAAGTTTCAAGAGAAGCAGTGCAGAGTGATTCTGCCAGGGCATTCCAGGACACATGTTTGCTGCCCAGGCCCAGAAGAACTCTCCTTCCACACTGGGGTGGCAGGAGGCTGTGGCACTGGTGGCACACATTACACTGCCCTTGCTCATGACAGCTGTAAGCCTCCATTTCAATACAGCCCACAAGGACATGTCCAATCTACATCTGATTCCTGACAGCCTAAAGGTGGAAGTTTTCTCTCCTATTACACAAATACAAACTGGCTATCATTTGTAGCATCTGCAGCCTGAGAACACTGCGTGAAGAAACATACAGCAGCACAAGACAAGATGCAATGAATTTCAAAACCCAATAAAATTGAAACTACTCGAGTAATTGAGGACTACAAGCACTACTGAAAATAGATTTCATTTCCTTGGAGCACACCATGCAACCTGAAATGACAAAGAGTGGATGGTTGATGCTTCGTTGGGTTTTTTTATATAAATGAAAGATCAAAACTAAAATTTATTCCATATTCCCTGCTGTACTCACTTTTACCTTGTTCTGATTATTGCTTTGGTAAAGCACAAGCAACTGCCTAGGTAAGCATAAGGATGCTGCACAGTATCTGCAAAGTATTGGCTCTGAGACTAAACAGAACCAGTGGATTAACTTTCCTGGATTTTTCCCATCTAATATTCTACCAAATTTATAAAGGAAACCTGGTAAGGATGGTTCCAATACCAAGAAAAACTGTATATTTTACTTAAAAGTATTTAAATTTTTGGCTATTAAAAAGTATCAGTATTTTGCCAGGAACCATTGAATCTTTGCCTATGCAACTTTCAGTCTAGGTGCACAAATACTTTTGAAGACAGAAATCAAAATTAAAGATGCAGCCAAGTTCCTTAGAGACCAGTGCAGTAAATACACAATGTAAGACAACTTGTTCCACGCAGTTGTGTTGTGAGTCACTTCTAGACCAATACTGTAAATAAACACGAATCTTATTTGAACATTAACTTAAAAAGGACTAACCTAAAAAAGGACTGCCTGTCTAATGGAGCGCTCGGAGGCAATAAGAAGTTGCTGATCTAAAATACAGACTGAAATCACTCCAGATAGATCACTTTTATCCTCATTAGGAGAGTGTTTGTTTTCAGGGCCTCATAGAATCCTTTGTGATCACCCATGTCTGCACATAATTGAGTTTTTTCAGCTAGACTGATCCACCACTTGTTCTGGATGTCACGGAGTTTCTGTTGGAGCTTGCTGCATGCAAGACGAAAGGTTGTTTTTCTTGCGTGACAGGATGGCAGTGCAAGGTGTGCTTGGTGAGCAGTTCTCTTCTTCCTCAACCACTCCTGGATTTCTTATGTCTCCTAGAACACTTCCATCAACGCTGTCTCTGTACAATCCTAAACATCCACTGGTCAGATTACGTGACCAACACATCTGTTCTAGAACAAGCAGCAGTCACAGTATTGAGGCCATGTTACTGAGAACACAGCTGCGTTGGGCTGGGCACGTCTCCAGGATGAAGGACCACCGCCTCCCTAAGATCTTGCTTTATGGTGAACTTGTCACTGGCTGCCACAAGAGAGGAGCCCCAAAGAGAAGATACAAGGACTCCCTGAAACAACATCTCAGCCTCGGCCATATTGATCAACATAACTGGTCTACTCTGGCCTCCAATCGGGAGGTCTGGAGACACACCATCTATAACGCTGCTGACGCTTTTGAGAACACACGCAGGATCACCCTTGAGGAGAAAAGACAGCACAGAAAGAATTGTGCCTTGCAGAGTGTACCACCTGGGGAGTCTTTCTGCTGTGCCTTTTGCAACCGGACTTGTCTTATCTCATATTGGCCTTTTTAGCCACCAACATGCTTGCAACAAGCGTGGGTAGTGCCTTCTCAAATCTTCGTTCACGAAGCCTAGCCGTGATGAGGAGAGTGTTTAATTTAGGTCCCTGGTGTAGCCACCAATCTCCAGAGCACCCACTGCTCCATCTGCTCTGACTCTCAGAGCAAGTCAAATCCTTGACTGCTTAAATCACAGAATCACATCAGTCCTTTAGCTTTGTCTTTTCTATGAACAACCCCAGGCAAACAATCCCAGAAATCATCCCAGAACCACGTTCTTCAGTCAGAAGCCTTCCAAAAGGCTCACAGACTGACACCTTTTGCTTTGAATCGCAGATGAACTTCTACGAGAGTCTTAGATGGGGAAAGAAATGGTTTGATAACAGACTCCAAGCACCGCATGAGGCAGGTTGTACAAAATGCGCATTTCTCAATCTGTACAAACAGAGGTAACAATAATTCTAAAACCATCTGATATACAGAGATTGCACAAACCACAGACAGTGTGTATTATGGAAGCCCTGTGTATTACGTTATATGGTAAACAAAGCATCCTGAGGTAAGCACCCAGCTACAAGATCACTTTTGAAGGTTACTAGACTAAAAGACTATTTCCACCGCTGTCTGCAAAAATGATTAAAACAACATTCTCACCTACGTGTGGCGCTAAATGAAGAATTTATGTAGTTTTGCATTCCACCTAGGGCCCAAGAGATGTTTTGACTTCACAAAAGAGAAAAAAAACAGTTCAGGACATGTGACTAGATAGAGCAATCTGATAGACTAGGAAAAGGAACAATCATCCACAGCAGTTCTTACTTGGCATGCTTTTCTGAAGAAATAATTTCTAGAACCAGCAATGACCATAAAAAGAGAAATCTGTTCCTCTAGTCAGTTTAGACTCAGAAACATAAGATTTCATTACTGTTATCATAATCTAAACAGTTACATCTTCAGACTGTTTCACATACAAATTCCCTCAATTATTACCAATTTTGATGGTTTAGCAATACAGAAGCTATTACTATGTCAGGTGCAGATCATCTTGATAAGACTAATTCAGCATTTCCACATTATCTTTCAAAGGAAGTGGTAGGGCAAGACTGAAGGTACATCTGCTGAAGTAATAATCACGACAACTTCAGAAGTGCTGGACTTTTCCACCTACCACTACCCGAATGTCCTGAAGAAAGAGCAAAGAATTAAGAACTACAAGCTTCCTGCAACAATACATCTGCCTGACGGTTATTATTAGTGAAGAAGGGCCTCAGTTCTTAGTTCAGTTTAATAAACTGCATTCATGATCACCACTACTGTTCATACATAGAAAGACTGACAAATTGACATGTAAGCAATTAATTTCTTATGTGTATATTTGGAATAGTCAAAACACTGCCAAACAAAAGACATTTTGTTTCAAGAGTGTTGTCTTTGGTTTTACTTCCTAGTACTAGAGTACCTAATAGTGTTAATCTACACTCACAAACACTTTTTTAGAAAAATGTGTAACACCCATATTGTTCATCTTTTATGTAAAGTTCCATTTCCTTATGGCTGTTCCGATACTCCCTATTTTCTGTGCATCAACTATATTGTCAGCACAAGGCAAAAGCAGTAAACGAGCCATTTTCAACTAAGTGGATGTCTTTGGCAAGACATGAATAACATGATGCAGGACA